GCGGCGGGAGAGCGCGCGGCCTGCGCCCCGGGCCCCCCGCCGCCGGTGGCCTTCGCGCGGCGGTCACGTGGGCGCGGTGCCCGCACACTCCCGGGCCATTTGTACTTCTTAGACTAGTGTTTTAGGACGACGGCCCGGGCGCCGCCGGGGCAGCCACTGACGTAACGGCTCGCGCGTGGAGTGCGCTGCCCCGAGCCGGGCGTGCTCCACGCTTTGTAAGGTCTGGGGTTGGGGGGGGAGGCTCCAACAGTTGCCAGGACCCCCCCACACACACCCCTTACGTAGGGAAACTGAGGCACAGCCTGCTGCTCTGTCTACCTTAAGGTGGAGCCAGATCGCAGTGCAATCCAGAGTTCCAGGAGGCTGCCTCCTGGCTCTGTTTTCTCTCAGGACTGGGGCTTAAAGGCCTCAAGAAATCCACGAGAGCTGGAAGAGATGCGCTCCTGGTCAGCAGGCCTGAAGAGAAATCTCCTTGTTTGCCTTTGTTCTAGCTTCTGTTGTGTTTTGTTCTCAAGCAACTCTGTGAAGGGTTTCCCAAAGAAACTGACAACACACATTATTTCTTTATCCTATTTTTCAAGTGATCATCACCCAATCAACTCTTTGACTTGTTTGTTTGTTTGTTTGTTTTTGTTCAATATAAATATTCAATATATATACATATATGCATATATATATGCAATTCCCAAGGGTAAGTTTGGCATACTTCATCTGAACCTACTGAATAAATAACACATTGTGAGCATTTTTCCCACGGCTGAATAAAATAGTGTGTTTTATGCAAGGCTCCGAGTCTGTCTCTGTCCATAAGCGACTTGACTTTTAATGCATTCAGTGTTAATGAAACAAATGCAGTCTTTCCCAACTATAACCAAGACACTGCATTTCATCACTAAACAGAATATTTTTTTAAAGATTTTACGTTGCTTATGTTCAGGCTCAGAATGCACTACCTCGAAACGGGACGCTTTGTGCCGGTGTGCTGGGTGCCTCCAATGGCCCGAAATTGGGAAGGCCTCAGAAGCGCAGAGTCTCTGAGCTCCCATCCTTCCTCCACACCCGTTTGTCCTCGGAAGCAAAGCCAACTCCCACAAACCAAAATTCCCCTTCCCCAAGGTGTCTGCCCCAGACCACGCTGTCTCTCCCTTCCCCCTCCTGCTTTGCAGCCCCTCACTCCGGGACATTCTGCCTCATAAACCTCCAGAAGCAGGAATGTTAGGGAGAGGCCAAGAATGTGGACACGCTGGCTCTGCAGGCTCTCCCCTCAGACTCTCACTGTCACGTTACACCTGCGCTGAAAAAAAAAAAAAAAAAAAAAAAAAAAAAAAAAAAGTTTTCACTGAGTCTTTCAGTCTTCATCCCCGACAGGTTCTGTGTCCTAGAAGATGTTGGCTAAATTCATTTCACAAGCTTTCCTCTTTCAGCCTGTTCTGTGGGAGTGTTGGCTGGGCCCCTTACAATGGGTGTGGAGAGCTGTCCCGCCTTTCTGCTCCTACAGCTACTTGTAGTTTCTTCCTCAGTAAAACAGGCTGAGCTAATTTTTACCTGCGGGGCCTGTTTATGACCGTTTCGGGTGACAAACTCGGCTGCGCTAAGGATAGTTTGTTTGGGGAATTGCCTGTGGGGCTGTTTCCAGAAGAGAGTGATGAGTGAGTCTGAGCACATTCGGTGGGGAATGGTCACCTTCATTCAGTAACCTGGAGACAACAAAACTAGACAGAATGGAACCGTATCCCAGAATGGAGGAGGCCTTTTTACTTTTTCTTCTATTAACGGTGGCCATGCGAACCCCAGGCTTCCCTGGGACTCCAGGCCTCGAGAGCCTCCAACTGTAGGTTGTAGTATGGGCACCCCTTCCCTAACATGCGTTGGGGGCCTTTGAAATCGGACTTAGCTGTGCTACCTTCTCCCCGGTTCCCTACCGTGCAGGGAGGCTCCATGGACCTTTTCATGCTGCGTACTCTATGACCCGATTCCCCTGTAAGCCAACCTCTCCTTCCTCTTCCTTTTCCTTCCCATTTTCAACTGGGCCTTTAAGACATCAAGATTCACATCACCTCCGTTTGTTCCCTAACAATAGCCTTTAGTTACAGCCTGACTATTATCCACAGAGAGCAGGCCATGGGCTCCTGCCATCGATTTTAGCACCACCACCTCCCCGCTGTCTACCTAACAGGAAACCTAGCACACACGCACCTTTGGCAGGGTACTTTTGCCCACCTGCTCCATATGATATGCCCGAATCAAGATACCCCAAAAGACCACCACCAGGAGCCGAGTCCGTTGCAAAACACGAGGATCTTTTTATTACAAATCATTCCAAGCTCCAGCTTGGGCTCTCCCTCACTTCCCAGTACATACAGTACTGTTTGGCACATTGTACATGTTCAGAAAATACTCAAAGTCATATAAAGAAATGACGATTCTATCATACCAAAAGAGATTCGAGATCTTACATTTAACAAATGCAGTACATTCCCGTTCCTAACAAACAGATTTAACTCAATGATAAATTTTAAGATTTAATGTGTTTTACTTTATGGTATGCTTCTTTGAATGTTTCTTTTTTTTTCAGTTTATTTATTTATTATGTATACAATGTCGTGAATGTTTCTTAGGTAGCCACAGTCATAACTGAATTAGATAACAAGTTAAGAGACCATCAACCAATGGGAATTATGTTAAAATAATATATTCTTAAATTACTGTTAGAATTATTTATATACAGTCATGCACTGCAGAGTGAGATTTGGGGAAATGATATTACCTCATATACAATGGCAGTCTCAGGGGAATATTGTACAGTGACCTTGTGGCCACTTCAGTGTAAGTATACTCTGTGCAACTTGCACAGTAACAAAATTGCATGATGGTGATAGAGAGATAATGTGGGTGAGTGTGCAGATGTTTGTTAAGGACAGAGGACAACTTTGGGTACCATTCCTATGGTGGCTTGAATGCGAATGGCTCCTATAGGCTCATATGTGTCAATACTTGGAAGAGCTGTCTGGGAAGGATTAGGAGGTGTGGCCTTGTTGGGGGAGATGTGTCAATGGGGTCAGGCTTTGAAAAGAGTATTAGAGCCTTCCCAGTGTATCAAGATGTAAGCACTGAACTGTCAGCCACCGTGCCTTCACTTGGCCATCAAGGACTCTAGCCATCTGGAAATGTAAGAAGCCAAACTGAACTCTTTATTTCGTAAACTGCCTTGTAAATGTGTCTTTTAAGCTCTCCCCAGTGCTGAGATGACAAGTACCTGCCTTACTTTGGTTAGATGTTTTATGAATATCTAGCTGAGGTCTCCATGCTCTTTTCCAACTGTGTCATCTCCCCAGTTCAACATTGATAAAATGCCTGAGTGGAATAAGAACCCAATACTTAATAGCAAAGAGCTTCAAAAGTTTTGTTTTTTTTTTAACTAAATCTCTTTTATTTATCTTTTAAGTACCACTGATAGCATCTATGTTATAACAGTTTTGAACATTGTACTTAGTTTTAAATGGAATAAGAAACCAATACTTATTAGCAAAGTGTTGTTTTTAAACAAAATCCCAAATATTCAATTTTACCAATAAAAGACTCAGGAGCCAGATGCTGAGGTGAAAGCCTTCCAGCTCAGAGAGGCAGAGAAAGCACCCAGCTGACCTTTCTACTCAGCCATCATCCCAGAAGGAAAAAGCCTCTTCTTCTTCACATGGTCTTAATAGCCCTTCAAACTGAATGTCTCTCCTGTCTACTTACTGTGCATCTCTCTATCCCTCCTCCTGACTTCCTTTCACTCTCTCTGTTTTTTTTTTTCCCTATGTTGACTCCCTGTCAACCGATTGCTTGCTCTGCCTCTTGACCTATGGGTGACTTTATTTAATCCTGTTCACAGAAAACTCTTGGATTAAAGGTGTGCGCTAGGGCTGAGCCACACCACAACTAGAAACAGGTTTTCTTAAACTCTGGTTCACAGTGGGACCAAATATCCTGCAACAGCAAAGAACTTCAAAAATCCTTTTAAAGTAGATCTCTTTTATTTATCTTTTAAATGGCATTTGATAGCATCTATGCTATAATCTTATTTTAACTGTGTGCTTGGCTTTAAAGTCTATCTTTTTAAGTTGTTTTCAGAGTTCATCTAAAATTACTTTTTTAATCATTTATTTATTTATTGGGGTTTTTTTTGTGTGTGACAGGTTTTTTCTGTTTAGTCTTGGCTATCCTGGACTTGCTTTCTAGACCAGGCTGGCCTCAAACTCACAGAGTTCCACATGCCTCTGCCTTCCAGAGTTCTGAGATTATAGCTCATCTAAGAAACCAGGAACAACTGGTTTTGATTTTTTTATTTTGTTTAAAAAAATCTCAGCCATGTTCACTAGTGGGGTTTATGAAATAGTTGGTGGAAATCCTATATTCATGAGTAACTATGTAAATGGCTACTCTTATTTAGTGGTACAACTCCGATTTTGTTTTAAGAGCAAGAACTTTCCCAAGCCAACATTTTCTTTCATAGAGTTTTAAGGAGATGAAATTTCAACTGTCCATATG